ATGAAGAAACAAATTATAAGTTAATTAACCAAAATTAATTCACATAAATCAAAGATTTTCAATACTCTTCTCACCACCAATGAGTATTACATGAAACGACTAGGTGAACAAAAATGATAACTAAATAACTTTGTGTCAAAACTGACTTGAACTTCTTTGTACCTCCGTTTTCTGATTTCTGCGAGAGTTCAGAGATCTTCCACAGTATCTTATGGGTTTCTGGGTTCCTGAGAGAACAAAAAAAATGTTTAGTTCGAACAGATTAATTCCCCATGCTAGCATAACCATATGGGGATCAAAACATCAAGAGTGCAGCTAACAACAGCTGTGTCTTTCTGGGATTTGAACTCACAACCATCGGGTAACTAGCAGAGAATGTTAGCTGCTGAGCTAACATCCATGAATAATGGTTAAGTTATTGTGACATGATTAATCACAGATCCTCACCATATAGCTGGAGGCAGCATGGCCTGCAGTTTGGTAACACCGCCGTCCACTGGCACCAGGAAGTGGATGTTGGTGAGGGGTGTGGGGCTGGGCATGGCCTCTGCATTGTATTTGTAGTCTATCCTGAGGTCAGTGCTGTTAGCATCACCGCGCCAGCTTAGTGCCAGGTTCAATGGAGTCGACTGGATGCCCCGTGCCGACACCTGGGCAAGAAAACACATGGCAAATGTCACTTTCTGACCAATTAGAATCCAGAATTCAAGTGAAGTGGTATAACTGTGTTATTTTCTTGTTTAAGGAAATAGAATTTCTAACTGATATAACCGATGAAATAAAGTGTGTTCTCGGCTCACCTGGTACTTCAGCATGTCCACATTGTAGTAGGTAGCCTGAGGCCGCTGGTCTGCCACCTTCTTGAGATGAGCCATCAGGTTGGGCATGTTCACCCGAAACTCTTTACAGTCGGAAAAGGCAGGCATCGAGTCACTGCACATAAGTCATAGTCCAGTTCACTGTGGATGTCCTGCTATTATAACCCAAATATTTCACAAATTTTTAGCAAATCTTAGCAATGTCAGGAAACTGCAAATAGCTGAGGCCTTTTACATTGCCTAAAGTACAGGAAGCTTTAGCAGGAATCAGTGCAACATCGTTCACATACTCTGACCCCCCGTGGCCCCCCTAAATATAAAATCTTATTCGTGAGTCAATTTCTGCAACCCTTGACATTGTAAACAGTGCTTTTACCAGCAGAGCAGCTGAGGGTTGGGGAGGACCTGCTCCAGACGGCTGTAATGGCTGATAGTGAAGGTGAGTACTGGAGGACTCGGCTGGTTCGAGAAATGTCTTGTGATGCCTGCTGGGAAGGACAGAACCATCTCTCCAGTTATCTTTACCACACACCTGCAGAGACACAGGGTGAGGGATGGTTGGGACTAATGAGTCAACATGCATGAATGAGACATGTTCATGCTGCTGCTGGACATGGTTCAGCTGTACTTGTTCAGTGTAGTCCATACTTGCTGGGGTCGGCTCCTTTGAAGTAGGCGCTGATGGTCTCTGTGAAGGCTGCTGCCACTGGTAGAGTGTCCTGGGGACCCATGGTAAGTGGACTTGGTCCTCGGGAACAGGCTAAAACAAAGAGAGAACAGCAGATACACCCTTACATTAAGTTAGTCTTGACTCAAACTACAGTATACTCTAAGTCTACAGTAAATCAACTGAGTCTAAGGAAGATCAGACTAAAATCGGGATTTTCTTGCGCGCCAGTTCCTGGTTAGTCTAGTCTTAACCTTAAATTCTGCATGTATGTGAAGGTAAATGGTCATCCAGGTCATTTTGAATGTCTAGTAGTAGTAAATCATGGTGTTTATCTTGAAGAGCTTTTGCCACTCATCTGAAGAGCTTTTGCCCTCATCACTCATCTGATGACAAACATCATCAGGCAAAATAAGGAGGCCTGGAGTCCCCAAGCCTCCTGATCAAGATCTTTAGCAGCTCACCTGAGACAGAGAGATTGAACTCTCTGCCAAGCGTTGGTGTGGAGGCAGCACTGAGGGAAGTGATGGAAGAAATGGAGGAGCTACTTTCTGCTCGGGCCAGGGGAGCAAAGGGAGGAGGACTCCATGAGTGGACAGGACCGCTGATGGGCCAAGCCTGGGAGCCAACAGTACACAAGAATACATCAATTTCAGAAAAAAAACAATGATGGTATAGTTGAAATCAAAGGATTTGAAATATATAAAATTGGTGTGTGTGTGTAGAGAGGAGTGTATCATACCAAGTCTGCCACGTTTGGTTTACCAGGGGGAAGTTTGGGCCGCGAGGATGGCCGGGGTGGGAGTGGTGGTATCGGGCTACCTGCTGATAAAGGAGTGCCAGGACGTGCAGGTGATGAAGGCCCTAAAGAAAATGAAAAATGTCTAACTCCCTGAAAGCTTCACACAGTAACATAAAAACACTACCGGTGGTCATGATCACTAAAGATACAGAAAGATCTTGTGACATAACGGTTATGTTTGTAAGCACTATACTCATACACCCTTCCCTATGTACTTGATTATCTAGTTTCTGAATTTCTTTGGGCTACCAATGTCTTAAATTAAACAGTAATATACTGCACATTGGCCATGTGGTACCTTATATCTTCAACGCCCATTGGCCAATTTTTGGCAAAATATCCACTCTGAATTTTGCTTTCTTTAGTGTAGCGGCTTGACATCCACCCATTCTCTCTTCTAGGCCAAGCTGCACTTGTGGAAGTGCTTGGCACCCTATACTTCATTTCTCAGTAGTGCTAGCACATCATCCGCATACTAATAATGCATTATATTGTAAGGAGAAAAACAACTATAGACAAAGTTTATGTGTCCTAATACAAAGATACCTTTTTCACAAACCTACTACCTGTCTGAAAACCTTGATAGAGTTTCATTGCTGTGCCAATGTACACTCTTTAAAGGGTTCTTTGGACAGTTAAAAGTTCTTTCTAAAGAGTTGTCCTTGGAACCGTTTTTCTAGATTTGACATTTATACCATATATATCTTATTAAAAGCCAGAAGCTTTGCACTCTCAAAAACATGTCCTTGGGTATGCTGGGGGACAAAGTGGGGTTTTTAGGGTACAAAGATATGTCAGTGGGGTGGTAGCCTCAAAGAAACATCTTACGTGCCTTAGAAAAACATTTTGTTGAGGAAAGTTGACATACATAATTGAACTACTGGTGTACCTTTTGAGGGTACATTTACACTTTTGGACCATGGGAAACACTCCCAACATACCATAACAGGACATAAAGATTAAAAAGAGACTATAAGAATGTGAAACACTCACGGCTACCAGGCCCTGGTGAGACAGCCACACTCCTGTAGGTGAGAGGAGGCAGTGGAGGTGGTGTGCCACGCAAACCCCCCATCCCAATGTCCTTGGGTGAGGTGGAAAGTGAAAGGATTTCCTCTCTTAGCCCAAAAGAGTCTGGTGTTCTTCTGGCATCATCTCGCAGCCCCAGAGGAGGTGGCACAGTTGGCAGAGGGGGCATGCCAGGGCTGGGTAGAGTGAGAGGAGTAGTCATGGAAAAGCTGGACTCTTGGAGCGGGAATGTGGAATGTTGGGGTTGGGCCAGATCATCAGGAGATAGGGAGTCTGGGGGGGAATCTGGGGGTGGGGGAGGAGGAGATTCAGGTGGAGGGATAGAGTGCAGCAGAGGAGGCGATGAGGCAGGAGGTGAAGTAGGGGGTGTGTCCTCAGAAGAGGATGAGAGAGGTGGGGAAGGGGCAGGCTCATCAGGGGGTGGAGGCCTGGAGGTTGTCCCATCGGTGAAACTGACCCAGTTGGACTGCAACATCTCTGATTCAGATTTGGGGGTATCAGATGGGGCAAATACATTGTCCATGTCAGGAAGAGCAGGGCCCCCTGTAGGGTCTGATAGTAGAATGTCCCGATAGATTGAAGGTGATCCTTCTCCTCTTACACTTGGAACAACACTGTAATAACCTGCCCAAAAAAACATAGTTTTTAGTTAAAGAGCAATCCACAGAGGACTCACAGAAGACTGAAGACAAGGTGAAATTGTACAGAATGAAGTGCTTTGGCATCTGTGATGTTGCTTCACCATATGAGACTTAGGGCAGATGTGCTCATCACTGACATCTGCTGTGGATGGTGATATGATATACCATCAATAGGTCAAACTGATTCTTACAGAGAAATGAAGAAGAAAAAGCATATTGACTAGATCTGGTTGTACTGTCATCTAACGTCAAGACCCTGGAAAGACTGGTGCTGGCGTACCTCAAATCTTTGATTAATCCATCCTTGGGGCTGCCACAGTTGATGTATCAATCCCATGCTAGGTGGTTTAAAAAAATGACAGTGTCTGCGTGAAAATGGGTTCTGAAAATCTGGTGTGACTGAGAGGTTCAATCATCATGACTACACAGAAAGGTCTACAATGCTGACCTGGGACTGAGTGGGGACAATTGAGGGGCCGCCAAGATAAAGGAGTGAGCAGAACACCCAAAATTACCTTGTAACCATCATACACTCTCCTGCACTATACACTTTATATTTTAATAAACTTCTTCAAATAATGTCTGGCAGATTTCAATTTTTTAGAGCACGGATGATGCAGTCATCTACATCCTGCAGACACTGTGCTCCTACTCCTACCTACATAGTACTGGTAGCACTCCATCAAGTAGGTCCTTCTACTTCTTCAGCACTTTTAATCCTATCCAACCATTTAGGCTTGGACAGAAACTGAGATCAGAGATCTCACTCATAATGGACTACCTGTTTGAAAAACCACAGTTTGTGAGACTGTGTGAGTTCTGAGTCTGAACAAGTACTGAATAAAACGGTGACCCTTGAAACCTGCAGAAGCTTTTAGATTTTTCCACTGTGGGCCTTTTGTTATGTAAATTAGTAATCACCCTGGAATGCAAACACTTTATCACTAGTTTTTGTTTACTTTATCATTCTGAGTATACATAAGCACCAAGGGTGTGACTGAAGATAGCTTTCATAAATGTTCTTCACATTCTTCAGCACAATAGGTCTCATGTAGGGCTCAATGGTTAGCACACTGGCCTTGTAAACCAGTGACTGTGAGTTCAAATCTTGCTGGGCCCTTTTTTTGAAGATAAAAAAATTATAAAGACGATTTCAGGTTCTGATGTTTGTAATTCAAAATGTTGGGAACTGAAATCGCTGGAAAAGAAGACACAATAAGTGGCACTAACTGCTAAAATTAAACTTTTCACACTGTGCTGTGCGTTTGTGAGACAATTCAGGCTACAGCAGAACCTTGATGATCCTGTGTTGATCTTTAAAGTGTACTTTAAAATCTGATAAAAACTGGTTATAGTCTACAGAAACTGCTTTAACAGTTACAACTGCTACATTTTCTAGATCAGTGGATCTCAATGTGGAGTCCAGGTACCCCCAGCAGTCAGTGAAGCAGGCCAGGGGACTTTATATTGTTACATAGGTGGAAATTGAAAAACACCTTTATCAAAGAGATTATATTTACTACTGAGGGCTTATAGTTGCCTATTAGAGCTGTGGAGCCCTGCATGAAAGAGACTGAGCTGAATAATATTCATAAAAGCTTTCTTCCTTTATACCCAGAGTGCTTACGTATGTACATTTACTTTCCAGGGTGTGCATGCAAGCATATACCCATACACACATGGCTCCATAGCTCAGTGGTTAGAGCACTGGTCTTGTAAACCAGGGGTCGCGAGTTCAATTCTCGCTGGGGCCTTAAATCAAGCTTATGAAGCTCCAAACCATGAAAGAAAATCTCTTAGACTTGTTTGAGGGTGACAATCTCATGGACCAACCCAGGTTCCAATGTTTCTGATCTAAAGCACTGGGAAATTAAATCAGTAGCAGAAATGTTGATGAGTCCAGCATTTCTGAGCCCTGAACCATTCCTGGTTCAGTGAAGAACACTGATCTAGAAAATGTAGGAGTTAATGCAGTTTCTGTGGCTTACAATAATGTTCTAACCAAAGTACACTTTGAAAGGCAGGAGATTTCGCTCCAAAAGGAACACCAGTGAATTGCAGGGCACCATGCACACACATTCACACCTAGGAGCAATTTAGCATGACCAATTCCACCTAGCCACATGGTTTTGGACAGTGGGAGGAAATTGAAGAACACCCACAGAACATGCAAAACTCTACACAGTCAGTAACCTGAGCTCAGGATAGAACCTACAAACCTGGAGCTGTTTTCTACATTTGTATTCTCAAAGCTTTGGTCAAAGGCCCCAGCAAGGCCTGAACTCATAACCCATGGTTTACATGGCCAGTGTTCTAAACACAGAGCTATGGAGCCCTGCCAGAGCAGCAGAAAATGACACACCCTCAGTGCTTACGTACACACAAGCTGAACAAAATGAGATGACTTACTTTCCAGGGTGTGAACCAACTTGCTGACATAACAACAGCTCTAACAAGAACATAGCTACAAGGCTCCATAGCTCAGTGGTTAGAGCACTGGTCTTGTAAACCAGGGGTCGCGAGTTCAATTCTCGCTGGGGCCTTCACTCACTGTTTTGAAGATTGAAAAACTAGAAAGAAAAGCTCATGAACAGATATAGCTTCTGATTTTTCTGATCTAAAATGTCAGGAACAGAAATTGCTGTAAAACACAACACAAAAGTGACACTAATGGTTGGACTTAATTTCTCAGGCCACAGCAGAACCTTGTAGAACCTGTGTTCTGATAGTTCTTCAGACATCCTTTGGATGCTGGATGTAAGATTTGAAAATGTCATCCTCTTATTGCAGGATTTTCACCTTCGTATTTTATATTACCACTGTCAATTGGGAACTCCGTGTCATACTGTGATTTTTGTGTGTCCGGAAAACTAATCCCACCCAAATAGTAGTACAAATCTTCCTACCTGACGATTCCAGAGAGCTGGATCTGTAGCTGGGTGGAGTTGCAGGAATGTTCTTCGGAGGAAGAGGAGGTGGAGCTGAAAGAACAGATTTGTGATTAAACAACATGGCTGACTTCATAACCCAGAAAAAATCTCTATCAGTACTAATTTACCTCCTGTGGGGAAGCGTCTGTTCAGCGGGGAGGTGTTGCTTGGCGTTGATGGACGCCACAGCTCTGGCTCCGCTAAGAACACTAAATATGATGAAACAAGACTTTTATCAATATGTTCCAAGCAGTAGTAATATAATTAGCAATCAGAGCTGACATGCTAATGTAAAAAGCTAGCTAAAACACATAGGATTTTTAATCTATGGATAAACATCTTAATGAGCAACCACAGCTGACATGTTAATCAATAAAGTTAGCATAAATTTAAATAACTACATGCTATGTAATGCTACATAGAAATTTTCTAACCTATGGATAATTCAGTATTAATAAGCAATTGGACCTGACATGCTAAGCCCTAAAGCTAACTGCACCATGTATCACTTTGCTAATCTATGGATGGTTCAACATTATAATTAACAATCAAAGCTGACATGCTAAAGGCTAAAGTACACTAAGTTACTTATTGCATTTATAAATCTATAAATACTTAAATATGATAATGAGAGCTCTGAGCTGATTGCTAAAGGCTAAAGCTAGCTAAGTCACCTTGCATATTACCTATTGAAATTTTACTGCTGAAAATTTTATAGACATACAAAATCAGAAATAGTCGCATGGTGGATTTGTCATAGATTAGCATGTTTTTGTAGCATGATGGTTTATTCTTGATCAGAATCCATATGTTAGCATTTTGCATAATTTATGCATTTTGGATAGTCTTAAAGAGTTTGTTTTACCTTCCGAGTTCTGTGCTTCGAAGTTTGCCTCAAACGGAGGGCCGAAAAAAGCTGAAGCATTGTCTGATAACCTTTTACTGCAGAACACACAGGACAACAATACAGAAACATTAGCAAGAACTAATAGCGTAAAATTAATGACTAACAAATTTGACCAGATCTTAAACACAACCAATGCTTAAAGTTTCATTTTTGTTTATAAATGCCATGATTAGTGATGTGTGTCTACATGATAGCCAGTGGCTAACCTTGGTGTGTCAGGACCAGGCCCCGGAGTTAGAGTCGGTGTTGGAGTGGAACGTCTCGGCCTGGCGATCTCCTCACCTATAGGGATAACCAGGAGTAATGGCTTATGGTGGAATCCACAAATCATGCTCTGTTTATGCTACAAAATTAGCCAATTAAAATCTGAACAACAGGATGTTCGCTTTCACACATTTCACACTTACTTGAGATAGTTCGTTTCAGTGGACACTGTGAAAAAGAAGACAGCAAAATAAAAAACAGTGTCAGGTAAGTGATTCTACAAATTACTAGTAATTATTTTACTAGAGATGTGCAAATTCCAAAACAATCCCGCCCTTTAACCAGCTGTTCTTACAAATAGCAACATAGAACCAAAGGCAATGAAAATCCTGGGAACATAAGATTCTGACAAGTTAGGACCTCAGAATATAGGACCCTGGGAACATGGGATTCTGAGAACAGAGGAGCAAAACAATGTAAGCTCTTGAGAATACTGATCCCACGGGATACTGGCTACTGGGAACATAGGGAACTAGTAGCATATTATCATGGCAGAATAGGGCTTCAGGAATATAGGACTCTGGGAATATGGGATGCTGGAAACACAGGGCTCTGGGAACATATGATCCTGGAAAATAGGGCTTCAAGAATAAAGGATCCTGGGAACAGAAGAGACCCTGTGAATATATATTCCTGGGAACATACATTCCTGGGAAAATAGGACTTCAGGACTATAGGACCCTGGGAATATGGGACCCTAGGAAAATAGGATCTTGGGAACAGGGACCTTAAACATAAAATCCAGGACCCTGGAATAATATGATGCTTATAATCAGTCCTCAGATTGGATAATTAAAAAGACAAACTGTGAAAAATGCAGATGGGTATCCACTAAAAGAGATTTGTAAATATCAGTGGGAAAAAACAGTCACGCATCTCCAAAACTCCAAAGTTCCACAATTTTGCTGCGATTGCTATGGCAACTTCTCAATATCCGATTGACAACCTGCGGTCTGTCCAAAGCTTGTCTAGCTTATGCACATAAAACAGAGGACACAAACTGTCACAAGACACGTCCCCCTTCTGATGTTTTGCGTAATGTAGCAAATTGGCCATTTTGGCCAGTCACTTCTTGCAACCCTAACTTTGAATCAAGGACTGTTTTGTGGACTTACATGGAATTAATTAAGTTGATTTTATATGATGTGCTCAAGTCCTACCATCTTATTACTACACATTAGCAAAATAAATTTCACTATTTGAATTTAGCTAATATTTACGCATTCATGACCTATGTTGTTGCTGTGGCCTGTCAATAGGGGGCAGGTTTGGTCCATCACAGAGTGACCACCACATTTGTGCTTATATTGAATGGCAGCTCTTAGTCCTGACAGTGAGCCCCATGCAACTTTTTTGCAATGACTCAAAAATGGCAAATTGCAAACTTACCGGGCTACGCCTCTGTGGTTGCAAGATGGAAAAGGTGATAATAATCAGTTAAACAATATATCATAGTATTTAGCTATTTAACAATGTGCTTTTTTTAGACACCATTTCATTTATTCTTTTCAGTATAAAAAAAACACGTGTCTACTACATTTGATACTTATGGTGAATTTGGCAGGCATCCCTGGTTCTACAAGATTGTTAAATTTGATCATTCTATTCCAAATCTAAACATATGAAATCACTATTATTCATTTTTGTACATTCAAGATCTTTAATCTAGATACCCTAATTTGTTATGTAATAAAAACCAATACTCAAGTTTGCTAGGAAGCTCACTAATGTCCAGGGTCTCCAGGTCTATGTGATAAAACCAGCCCAAACCCCTTCTTAGGCTTCAAAATCATGACAACCAATGAGAAATATACTGCAGAATTTGGGAAGTAGGTATCTATTTAGTTCGCAAAACAGTGACACAATTAATATAACATAAACCAAACATCCAATCAACCAGACTGCTGACAAAAATGATCAATATCAAGGCAGCAAGTCAAGAGTGGCCAAAATTCTGTGGGGAAAAAAACTTGACAACTATGTTAATCTCAGTTACTGACATCATAAGACCAAATTTAA